ACAACAATACAGAGCTAAAATTACCGCACTCGCTTCCACCAACAATGTAGTAAACACCAACAGACTCTAATGATTATAATTACTGCCTGTATTCAGTTACAGCCCATTTTATAGATATACTTAGAAAAATATAACGTCCTACTTTTAAAGTGACAAAACACATCCACATAGGCAGTGATTAGAGAGAGCAGGTGTAATTTGGCATAATGGCAGTCGTTTGTAGAGTTTTGTAGTTGCGGTTTATGGTCATGCAGTGTCATGTCCTGCCTGGTCGGCTTAATGCAGGGGCATGTGTGGCTGTGATTAGACAGTGTCTGCACATAATGAGGGAGAGAGAACAAAAAATCCAACAATTGGCTGCAGAACAATCAAGAAATCACTCTTCTATTGTGTGAGAAAGACAGGATTCACAGCGTGTTCTATTTAAAGGTACACTATAACATTTGGGTTTCAGATCCACTTGAGGTACCAATGTTTTACAAAGCTATAATCTGGAATAGTCTTCCAAAAATGTGAGGCTGGCATCTACTTTGACTGTGATTTCAAGAAATAGTAAGAATTGTTTTTGGCCATTTAAAATGAAAACAAGGCTATTTACTCAGTCGTTTCGTGTTTTAGAATGTTTTAGACTGATAAAACATATCAGATTTGTATAATAAACAACAACACTCCTGCACATGAAGTAGCTGCATATGTTTCCATGGCAACATGTCAACAACAACACCCTTTTTTCTCTCCCAGTGTTTCAGTTTACAAGTCAGAGAACCTCAATCTTGGTCGTGTCGTTTGGCAATTTGACCCAATATTTTACATAGTGCACCTTTAAGTAGAAAATATATGGTTAAGAAAGATTCAAAATACTCTCCGGCTTCAACTCCCTAAGCTATCACCAGAGGGAATGGTAGAATTTTTGTTTTCCTTTTTGTTTTGTTTTTATCTAAATAAATAATTATTTAATAAATTACTTGCAAAACTGGGGAATGTTGTAGATGGAGCAGGAGGATCTCTGTTGTGACAAGCAGGTGGTGAACCCAACACCGGAAACGTTATATAATGAATCTTTAACAAACAAACTGTTGAAGGATCTGAAAAGCCTCATAGTAACTGTAAGTGAAGCGTTTATGAGTCGCAGAACTTTACAGCAGAGCAGAGTAACGCCAACCCAAAAAGATTCCCTTCAGCTTTGTTTAACTAGTGACAAGAGGGGACGTGTCGGGGTGCAGTTTTATCTCGCCACAAGCCCGCCTTGAAAAAAATACGACATAACCTCCTGTCTTTGTCAAGTTGTCACACTTTGAATGTTTGTATCATTTTACTCAAATATCATGTTTTATGTTTTAAATGGATCCTTTAGGCCCCCAAAATGCTACATGAGCTCCTGAATCCATTAATTTTCTTTCTTACTTTTCTGATATTGATTGATCCATCCATTCATCCATCCACCCATTTTCTTCGCCGAAATCTATATCTGGGTCGGGGGAGGGATTTGTCAGTGCTGTACTCAATTCACAGAGCACCATCCCCAATTTTCTGATATTGATTTAAAGGGGTATAATGTAACTTTTTATGTGGGGGGTAAAAAGTGCATATTTTGTCATCTTGTCATTTTGTTGATCTTGTAGTGACCCAGTGGCTGCATGAGCGGGCAGCATGCCACCTTAACTTTTGATCACGGTTGTGGCTACATTGATCCAAACCTCCACATTAATTAACATTTTTAACAGTTTGATTGTCTGATTTGTCAGCACAGCAAATCAACAAATTTGTATAGTCCTGCGAGACGACAGCTGTTGTGAATTAGAGCTACACAAAAATACATTGAAATGAATCCTGTAGAGACCACTGATATGGGAAGTAAAATATGCCTAAACATTGATAACCCTTCATACAGCCACTGCGTGACTACAAGGTTAGATACACATAAATATCAACTTTTTTTTCACATAAAAAGTTGCATGAAGGCGCTTTAAGTGGTTGTGTGTCTCTTAGCTCAGCCTATTGTTTGTTTCACAAAACATTTCTGAAGAAGCTCAGGTGCCTAAAGGGTTAATGGAATTAGCTCGATGTTTTCCGTGGTTCTCAAACTTTCCACAAAACATACACTGGTAACTTCTTAAAATTTGATCTCATGCAGTTCTATAAGTATATCTGCTCCTGTTTTGTATCCCAAACTCAATAGCAGCAGTAATGTTCTTTGGTTGAAGAACAAATATATACCAGTTGTCTCATAATGTTCAGTTAGCGTACCTGCAATCCTTTGAAATAACCCTGATTGCTTTTGGTGAGACTCATAAGTTTAAAACCATCTGCCCATTCATGATTGTCTCACTGATGCGACCTTTGCACGAGCAGAAACGATACAGTAGATGCACAACGGCCCATCAAGAGGAGAGCAGACTCATTACATCCTCATTAATGCCAGATGCCAATGCTGAGGGGCGTCAGATGGGAGATACAGGACGTCACCGGGCCAGATGCAAACAGCTGATTGGATCAAATGTCCATCCTAAACAGATTTGTGAGGGTATGTTTGGATTAGAGAGAGACGCGCAGATGGAGATGTGGACTGCTGTGTGCTTTCCAACTCGGCTAATTACTTTTTGCACGGTGAGAAGGTTAAGTGAGGCAATGGCTGCAAAGAGACTGGATGAGGTAGCCTATCAGAGGAAGAACATATGGGTTACTTCATAAGGCCAAGATACGAACACGGATCACGAGGACCCAGCAAAGCCACATATGACGTGTATTTTGTACAATGAGAGCTTTTAACACACTTGAATGCATATGCAAGATTTATGCAGGGACCAAAGACCAAGTGAATATTGCAAAAACAGATAAGTGCAGCAAGCAAAATATTTGACTTACAATTTGCCCTATATAAGTAGTTTTTTGAAAAGCCAGATCAGTTTTAGTGCCATACAAAAAAGGATTTCACCCCTTATTCAGCAGATTCTTTCAAATATACCTCCAACAACACAATATGTTGAAGATTGTCCCAAGAGGATTACACATTGTTGAAAACATTTCAAAACAGAGAAATTGTTTTTTGCAAATGAACCCTTGAAGTCTTTCTTTGTGTCTGTATTTTGATTATTCAAGCCATTTTATATGTCTCTCTTTCTCTATATGTGTGCTATGTGTGTGTGTGTGTGTGTTCGAGGGATTGAGGTAAAATTGGTGTGTAGATGGAATGTGATTGTTGGAAGACCGTGGTGTTTGCGGGGTTTGTGCTACGAGAGTACTTTCTAGCCTATCATAGTTTATCCAATCATAGAGAGAAAAAGCACATTTATTTTGTGCCAAAGGAGTGAGTCTAAGATTATTCTCTAAATCAGGGGTACTTTGAGGTGAAAGCATTTAAACATTTGCTTCCTCTTGGACCACCGGGGCGAATTCCCAACACTTTAATGGGTCCTTAAATGCATCACATCTCATTGAACGGCTCTGAGAGAAGTAAACTGAGCGACAGTGAAGTAAATATTAACATTGAGGAAGTCTTATAGCAGGCCTCTGTGTGAAGGTTTCTATCCACTCATGTGCCACTTCAACATCTGTATTTTTGCTTGGAAAAATGTGATGAATACGCAATAGAAATATACATATAAAAAGCTTTTAAATGACTTGGAGCAAAACAGCCCTCTTTAAAACGTAAAAAAGCCAAAGAGTTTACACACGTGTCCACTTTACACTTATACAAACAAGACATCTCTGATTTCAACTACACATTTGGAGCAATAGAGATATCTGCAAGTCTCCAAAACAAGCTGATATCATAAAGGACACAAAAGGGATATACAGGAGGCTATATTTTAACAGTCTGCAGCTCCATGGTCCCATAGCCAGGGCATCGCTACATCAACGGCCCAACAAACAGTCTAAACGTCATTCCTTGTCTAAACATTAGGAAAGCTACCTGCCAAAACAAATATGAAGGGTGGTTCGGCCGCAATACGCTACACCTTATAAAATAAAAATGGTGTATGTAAAAATCAAAACAGTCTTTGAGCTTAATGTAAAACAGCATACAGTATTTTTCACATGTGGCATCATCATAAGAAAAATCTAACTATGGATGATATAATATTGACATGTTTGAAAGCAGCAAACAATAGCACATTATAATATAGTTGTGTTGTGCCGTTTGTGGAGCATCAATAAATAAATAAATACATACATATTCTTCAAGGAGCAAAAGTAATCACTCTTCATAAAGTAAGTATTCACGTTGCTCTGAGCTCGGGTCAGTCTGTCATGATCTATCTCTGATTCTTTCTCGTAGTTGTTACAATTTTTGGTGTTTGTTATGATATTTTGGTGTAGAGGAAATACATGCAAGAATAATTACTATCATATTATGTAAGAAAAAATGAACACAATATTATTCTGTCTCTTAATGATTCTTATTTCTGATTGCATACATTTTAGTATGCTTAATACTTAAAGCTGGGATACACCACTGCTGTTGTACACTATTGTGCACTACACTTACTGTCACATCTGGGGATAGAGATTTCAATGAGTTTGATAAATACAGCTGCAAAAGTGACTTTCTCTTTTCGGTTTGAAAATGCAGGTAGCGCAGCTTTAGTCTCGCGTCTCTGAAACAGTTTGGCAACTCTTTAAGGTGCATTGGAAAACTTTTCTGATGGGGTCTGCTACCTGCTTGTAGCCACAGATATGCTATTTCTCTCCCCATACTGTATATAACATTATTTGCAGTCACATCCTTGTTTCCAACACAGATGACAAGTTAACGAAAAACAGAACCTCCACCAGGACAGTTGTGAAATGCGCCTTTTTATCAATATGTCGACTAAATAATTGTTTTTCTTTCTTCAATCAGTGAGCACTTACTTGTAAGAATGAAAAGAGCACCACAAGTGACAAAATAAAGCAAACCATATTCACTCATTCATGCTCCGAACCACACTGGGCCAGTCCAAATGCATTCATTCTTTACAACAATTCCTCTGATGTGTCTGAGTCCACTGTTCAGCCGTTCAGACTGCGGAGCTGGAGACCTGGAGCCAGCCCACCTCGGTGTACGCTCCGGTCACATGCCAGTACAACACGCCCATCAGCTTGGACCACACCTGCTGCACCTCTTCAGTGAAGCATTCTGGGTAGTCCTCCGACAGCATTTCAAGCATCACGCCGCTTAGGATCTGGGAGACAAGAAGGGAGGGCATGAGTGAGAATTTTCTTGTGTGAAAATGTCAAATTAACATTCACTTCATTTCTGATGCCCTATTCTCAAACACAGACAGGGTATTAAACAATTTAGTTCTCCATACATGAAAATCTATGTTCCCAGTGGCACATTATTGAATATTTTGTTCATATGTAATCGCAGTTTTGAGATAAAGCAAAGTTCTAAAACAGAGGAGTCGCTGATTTCCTTATTCAGTCCCACATAAGGACCTTAAACAGGCGACCACAAAGTTGGAATGTAAGGATCTTTGTTTTTGTTCAAGCAAAAATAATCATCTGATAGATGAATCCTCCAATCACAGATTCAGAAAAGAAAGTTGGTGAAGAGAGTTAACAACCTAGGGGAACCTAGGGGAAGGACTGGTGGAGGTAGTCAGAGGACTGACTGGAGAGTAATGACGGCTCCTTTAGAATATAAATAACACAAACATGCATGATCTAAATAATCATTCTTCCTCCTATTGGTCAACCTCTGAAAGGCTCTGAATGAGTGACATGAAGATTCAATAAATCACTGTAGATCATCACTTCTTAAAGATAATACTAAAGACAGTACATTGTGAATAAGGCAAGCGAAGTCAGTATAATAGTATATTATATATAACACATCTGTATTATGTTATCACTAATTTATCATTATAGAGATACAAGATGCTGACAAAAATGGACAATATTCTCTTTTGATAATATTATCTTATGATAATTCACAAATGAATAGACAAAGTGTGTGTCTGTTCTCAATCACACACTTTTCCACCTATATTGATCAACACAAAATGTTTATGTGAAATTGGCCAATCTTGAGCCCAATGGTGAAAGATAATGATATATTTAGCAATTAGGGTAAAATAAAGACAAGGACCACATCTTTCAAAAATTATAACAACCTGACCTAACAAATATATCACCGTTCAACAGACGTCCGGAATCTATTTATCTTCCTTGTTTGAATGGTTTGATTTGATCTGTTTTTGTGGAATCAACAACATTGTCCGAGATAAATGTTGTTGTGATTTTCTGACACAATAAACAACTGAGAGCGACCAACAGGCAGCATGAACAAAAGGCTAAGCGCTGAGACAGGTGAGAAGAGAAACTATGAAAATTTAACATGAAAAGGGTGGGTGGACGGCGCAGAGCAGAGTGAAAATGATAATGTGCAGAGGGGCTCCACAGGAGGGAGCAGAGAAGAAAGGTGCATTTTAAAGATGGAAATGTGCCGTACATAGATTGGGGGGAGTAGATATCAATAACACATAGAAGAGCAGAGGATGGCTTTGTACTTCTGGTTATTGTTTAAATGTCTTATTAGCCCTCATTAGGTCCCTTGATATTTCATACACAATACGTCATGTTCACAAATTTGTTTTGCAGGAACATTTTGAGAAATCACTTTTGGAGAGAACAGATACTATGTCAAGCGTCTTCTATAAATTAGATTCAGTCCAGTTATTCCTAGAAACAAGATTTTAACAAAAACCTTTATGTGAACAAAACCAAAATGTTGCTGTCAATAGTCTCAAATATCAGTGTTTGTTTAAATAAATATTTAGCAAATTGTCAAAATTAATAGCCTTGATAACTATCAATTTATGGATAGTTTGTGGATAATTATAGCTATATTTAATCTTATTCAACCAGTTCATCTATACGTCTCATATTTTAGTTGTATTTATAAACTATTGGTCATTTAGATATAAAATATACTGATGTTTTGATGAATACATTGTGAAAAGTTTTGGAGAACATATAATATATACTGTCATTATATATGTTATAATTATACAGACGGATGTGTTCTCATCATATTATCTGCTATTACATGATGTTGTTTTTCTACTCTCAGCACAGAAACAGAGGTAATGTTGGGTTAATCTGCTTCAAAATCAAAGCGAGATTGTTTATCAGAGAAAAAGTGTTTGAGTGATTATGAGGGAATATATCTTAAAGATGGGGTCCCTCCCTTTATTATTATTATTATTACTATTCCCACATTGTTTGTCTTGTAAAAATAATATTGTCAACAAATCAGACCACAACATGGTGTTTTTATCTTTTTAGAAAACATCTTTTGCATAAGAAAGAGGCCTGGGAGTCACTATTTTTCACTTTGGACAAACAGCTGATTGGCTGAGTGAGAGTGGTCTTCCATTTTTCACTTTTCTGTCTTAAAAAGCTGATCTAAACATATCTATTCAGACTGGCCTATTCACTGTGACCCTATTCCACTGTTTATTTTTAACTGTATGCTTTCATTTTTATGTTATTTTTACTTTGTATCTTTTGTAAGTTGACCTTGAGTGCCCGGTAAGGCATCAAATAAATAAATAAATAAAATGTATTTTTATTATATATTATCATTAAAGATGTGACAGAGGTAGGAAACATATGTGAAAACTAGTAAAAAAACTATTTTTTTGTGCGTTTTGATTGTTAGGAACCCCAGCTTTAAGAAATGTGGAAGAACTACTGGCCCTTAAGCTTTTTAATACATTCACATTTCTCTGAGATATTCTATTCTTAACTCCCAAAAGAAGCCGAAAGTTAGCGAGCTTTAATGTGGCGACAAAAAGGCAGATGGTCCTCACCTTAAAATACACGGGCTCCACTTTGTGCTTGAGCGCGTGTGCCTTCCCGACCAAGGCCAGCACAGCCGTCACTTTGTCGGAGTCGTGAAGGTTCTCCACCACCGTGTTGATGGCGTTCATAACTCTGCGGGCGTGCTGTCTCAGCTGAGTGCTCTGCTCCATCTCCTCAGGGTCTTGCATGTCCTGGAACTGACTGAAGTACTGTTTGGCAGAGGGGAAATTTACAAAGAACCTGGAGAAGGCACAGAAAAGAAAAGAAAGAAAAGAGAGAGAGAGAAAAAGCGTTGCGTTACTGGGAAGCTGCAACTCATTTCGGTCAGCGCATATGCTTATCTAAAGTCATTCATTCCACGGTTGCCATTTCCATCATTGTATTTCTCCCCTGCTATAATAACCAGTGGTAATACGAAATACAGACGCGCCTGGACTCCTGTCAATCATCTTTCAGCCACAGAGATAACAGCTTTCAATATTTTGTCTGAGCCAACTCCGAAATTAAAGTTCAAAATGGCAGTTTTTAGCTTTTAGAAATGATAACCAGAACATTTTGAATGACAGCCACAATAAAATTAGGAAATAGATCGGTTATGATGGTTACAATGAAATACAAACTTTTTTTATTAGCATTAAGTATTTTACATGAAGACAATTAATGTATAGTATTGTTAAGTTAAGTTATACATTACTGTCCCTGTAAGAACATTTGTCTTCTTTATCAGACCCATCCCTCCAAAAGCCACATGGGCCTCTTTCCGATTAAGAGCTGGAGGATTTTACCTATTGGAAATCGGAGCACCCGGAGAAAAACACTGAGAGAACATGCAAATTGCTCCCCGAAAGACCTTGTTCCGACCCAGATTTGAACCCAGGACCTTGTTGTATGTTGTTCTTGGTTTTGTTTACATGTTAGCATGGGTCAAATCATACTAAATGAATTTATTATTTTAACTAATTTAATGTTATGATAAACTGACAGGATTATTATTAATATTATTTTGTATAATTATTTACAACAACAGAAATTAACGTGTTGATAGGAAACCCTAAAAATACTTGTCTTTGTTTATGCATGTCTTTGTTTAACCATATATTGAAAAAAAAAAAAACATGGTTTAATCTACAGCGCACGTCTCATCCCGGATGTTTGTGTGTGCCTTGTATTCACAGTTGGAGATCAGCCTTGGGCCCATACATTCTCGAGATGTGAGTGGTACAAGACGCCGCTCACTTGGGGCTCTCTTTGTGGGCGACTAGAATAATATGAAACAATCTGAGGCACTTGTTCAGCTTCGACATGAAAGCGCACCGCTGAACTTCCAGAATGCACCGCTCCAGCAATATTTTCTTTGAAGAGAAGAACAGATGTTTTTTTGTCTTGTGTTTAAGTAAATCGTTTTCACAGTGGAATGATGAAATGTATGCTATCAAGTTTTAGATACATTTAGAAGAATTTTAGATAGTTATATTGCCTCTTAAATAATCCTGTAGTCACATCTGCCCTGGGGACTGACGGAAGCAAGTCTGTGCAATGGCCCCTCCCCATCATCGCTCTGGTTCTGTCAGGAGGAGCGGGCCAAACTTCCATCAGAGTACTGTCAAAAGCTTGTGGAAGTTTTCTCAAAACAGGTTAAACTGTTTAAGGCAATAATAAAAATCATTAACTTTGTGTAAGTAAACCCCCGGCCATGTGATACATGGTCATTACATAATAATGAACTGACCACCTTAATTAGCACAGAAAGTCTTTACAATTCTGGTTTCAACTGAAAAATAATGTCACAATGAAAATTATGATCAATAAAAGGAAATGGCCATCTAAAGAGGGATGTGAAATGTTGTTTGCCATTTGTGTAGTTTTTCTGTGTGAGAAAAGATATTTGGTACTTTTATAAAGCCAGAACTGTTTCTGGAACCATCCCAAAGTGTTTAAAGACGTCATCCGTGACAAGCTGGAGGAGGTTGCTCCTGCTGTTAGTGGTGGACAGGTTGAAGCGGCATACGTGACTTCCCACTTAGACTCTTCAGTGGGCCTTAATAAATTCATGGCTGTGAGCCAAGCAGAGGTGATCTCTGTGGTCACATCCTCAAAAGCCTCAACTTGCATGTTAGACGCAGTCCCGACATGGCTCTTCAAAGACATACTTCCTTTGATAATTGAGCCTATCGTAAATATAATAAACGCATCCATACAATGTGGCTATGTCCCACAAGCTTTTAAAACCGCGGTAATCAAACCCCTTCTGAAGAAAACAAACCTGGACCCAGAAATACTTACAAACTACAGACCGATCTCGAACCTCACTTTTATATCTAAAATCCTGGAAAAACTTATAGCTGAGCAGCTCCGCTGCCACCTGCAGGAAAATGATATGTTTGAAGTCTTTCAATCAGGATTCAGAGCTCATCATAGCACTGAAACGGCACTAGTCAAAGTCACAAATGACTTACTACTAGCTGCCGATAATGGACAAGTGTCAGTGCTGGTCCTACTGGACCTTAGTGCTGCATTTGACACAATAGACCACAGCATTCTACTGCAGAGGCTAGAATGTGATATAGGTCTTAGAGGAACAGCCCTTGGCTGGTTTAAATCCTATTTATCAGATCGATATCACTTCGTCAATGTGAATCAGGACTCGTCGCCTTATTCTGGAGTGGAATTCGGTGTGCCGCAGGGTTCGGTACTCGGACCGATTCTTTTTACTCTCTACATGCTGCCACTGGGAAACATTATTAAAAAGCATGGAATTAATTTCCACTGCTATGCAGATGACACACAGCTTTATCTGTCGATGAAGCCTAATCAGACAGATCAGCTAGAAAAGCTCAGTGCCTGCATAAAGGACCTTAAAATGTGGATGACTCTTAACTTCCTACTTCTCAACCCGGAGAAGACAGAAGTGATCCTACTCGGTCCGAAGCGCCTGCGTGACTCCCTCACTAACCAGATGGTTACTCTCGATAATGTCAGTATAATACCCAGTAACACTGTGAGGAATCTTGGAGTCATTTTTGACCAAGAACTCTCCTTCAAGGCTTATATAAGCCAAGCAACTAAAACGGCGTACTTCCACTTACGGAACATCGCTAAAATTAGGAATTTCCTTCCTAAAAGTGACGCGGAAAAACTCATTCACGCGTTTGTCACCTCAAGGCTTGACTACTGTAACGCTTTACTGGCAGCGTGCCCTAAAGCCTCTTTGAAGAGCTTCCAGCTCGTTCAGAATACAGCAGCTAGGATCTTAACAGGTACCAAAAGGAGGGAGCACATAACTCCGGTGTTAAAATCACTCCACTGGCTCCCTGTGGAGTACAGAATAAAGTTTAAAATCCTACTCTTAACATATAAAGCCATAAATGGCTTGGCTCCTTCTTATCTCCAAGACACGTTAGTGTCGTATCAACCAAGTCGAGCGTTGCGCTCACAAAACGCCAGACGTCTGGTGGTCCCTAAGGTCTCAAAGGTCACTGTTGGTGGCAGAGCATTTAGCTACCAAGCTCCTTTACTGTGGAATCAGCTTCCCATTTATGTTAAGGAAGCAGATACGGTCTCCACATTCAAGGCCAGGCTTAAAGCACTTTACTTTAATTTAGCATATAATTAGGTAATATATAATATGTAGTGTATATATTATATATATATGCTGTATTATGTTATATATTATGTTATATATTATTCAATAATGTATTGTGTTATGTTGTATATTATGTTATATATTATGCTGTATGTTATTCTTTATTCAAGGCTAGGTTTAAAACAGTCCTCTTTAGTTTAGCATATGGCTAGGAAGGTAAGACTCGGAGAAGGTTAAACTCCTCAGAGTGTTAGTCAAGCTGCATAGGGAGTCAGTTTGCTGGGAGAAGTATGGTAACTTGAGCACTATCCTCCTTCCTACTTTATCTGTTTAGCATTTTTAGGATTCTGACTGTAGTTTGTTCATTGCTATTCACCCGTTGTCCCATTGTCTGTTTCATGGTACGATGACGGGATCTCTGAGCCTGGCCTCTTCCATCTACACCTGCGGACTGCCCCGCCCGACCCGCCTGGGAGTGCTTCGGTCCTGCACCGGACCTGTCCACGTTCAGCGTCCACTGGTCCACGTTCTGTAGCTAGCTTAGGTCCTAGATCATTAGTCTGTCCGTCCGGAGGAGCGGATCCCTTTCTCATATGGGTCTCCCTCCCTGTGGGTTTCCCTAGTTCTCCTCCAAGGTTTCTCACTTTTTCCCACTGGGTTTTTTAAGAGTTTTTCCTTGTCGATGCAGGAGGGTCTTGTTGGACAGTTAGTGTCCAACAGAAAGGATTGGTGATGATCAGGACACTTTAGCATTCTACAACATGTATGGACATTTTCTTCTGTGTGTGCTTTATACTGTATTCTTCATGTGTTTTAACTGTTGATTCTCTGACCTGTGTTGGTGATTTCAATGGTTTTGTTAAGTCCTCTGAGATGACTTCTGTTGTGACCTAGGGCTATACAAGAATAAATTGTATTGTATTGTATTGTCATCAAAGCTAAAACAGCACCAATAGTTTGGTGTTAATCACACACTGTGGAACCAGAAACAGTTGTGAGCTGTGATTTTTAGCCAAAAGACGGCAGACGTGACATTAGTCAGTGTGTGATTCTGTGTTATACGTCCCATATCCGCATTAGTGCTTTAGTTAGAAGAAGATTGTGCCACCAAAGGCTCCATCCACATAGAGGCCATATGCACCACTCTGCCACTGCCCTGGGTGATGCCTCTCGTGTTGGTGCAATTGCATTTGTACGCATTGGTGACATTACTGTCTATTGTCACTGTGTATTCTCTCAATGCTGCCAAGCAGATGGTTAGACATGAAAATGCAAATTCTTGTACTAGTCGAAAGATGCTGTGATCTTTAAGTGTTAAGTGTGGGTTTTTCTTAAAACGCACAAAAATATGAAATCCAGATTCAGTGATTGTCAAAATTAAAATCATCATTAAATCATCATCAACATGTCAAATTGTTGGAAATGTAAAGCACTTTAGATTTCCAACGTCGCTGAGCTAATCATCAAACTGATAATAAAATCAGATATTAGTTCAAATATTCAATTTAGTGATCATCACAAAATGATCATTTTAGTTTTGTTTGATTATGCAGAAAATTGAGAGCATTGGAGAGAGAAGCCTGGCTGTCTCTGCTGAGGCTACTGCCCCCTGTGACCCAGCAATGAATAGCGGAAAATTGATGGATGGATAATTAAGAACATGCAACATGTTTTTTAGATTGTTAGATAAGATTAGATAAGATAAAAAAAGATATTAGTTTATTCATCCCACAGTGGAGTAATTTCACATCCATAAGTGTTATTAGACCTCTATACTTGTGAAGATTGAATATTATTGTATAATTGTATTGCCACTTGAAACATAAAAACACACATAAAGCTAGGATAGAAATTGCTCATATACATATAAACTTTGCATAACGCCTTTATTTCTTGTCTTTTTGATGACCCCTCACAGTCAAATGCTTATAGGCACACTCCCACACTAAACTCTATAGCAGACAGCTGATCTGCACCAAAAGATGTAACATTTTGGTGTTTGCTTTTATATAATTGTTTTAATCTTTTGTGCCTGTGAAGCACATTGGACAGCTGGTGTTGTTGTAAATGGTCTGTACAAATAAAGCCGACATTGACATCAAACCTATGGTGTAGTGTATACACTCTACCACCAGTGGCACAGTTAAGTTACGTTATCTAAAGTATACTTTATTGTTCCCAAATGAAAATTTGTCCACATTTGATCCATCCTGCAATACCACCAGGGCCTCTGTCAGGAGCAGAGGCGCCAGGGGACCCATCCCCAGACGTTAATGCTTGGCTTAGTCTGGACCAGAGCTGAGATTTGACCTGTTGTACATAATTTTAGTGGTAGGAGAACCCCAGAGCACCCGGAGGAAAACCAATGAGAACTGGCCCTTCTGAGTTACATACTTACTAACTTACTTTCCATTGAATGAACTTTCAGAACACAAACTTTGCTAGATCTTTTTGGACAACAGTCAATGCTACAGCGTCAGCTATATGCATATTGCACAAAAATACACACATTGGGTATAGAAATGATTGGCCCAAGGAAAATATTCAACATCAACATCCTGAGAACATCCGTGGCTCAACTGACTCAACAGCGCCACCATGAGGTTGACCTCTATGATCCATGAGACCAGCCTAAAACTGAACTGCTCTATTATGATCAGGAAGCCTGTTTTGGATTGAAATTCCACAGCCATTTTGACTTTTAAAAAGGGAACTTGAAGGGTTAAAACTGACATCACTTGACTACTCACTTGATCTACTGTACACACGTTGAATTTGAAAAATTATCTGATACGTTGTTGATGCGGTCTTTGTGCAGCACAACAGCAAAACAAGACTGTTTCATTTCTAAATCAATTTCGAGATTAAACATTTCATTAAAAGTTATTTTTTTTATGAACAAAGCCATTATTTAGGTCACTCCGATCAAAAAAGTCAAGTATTGTGTGTGAGGCTCTCCACTGCTTTTCATCAGGGCACTGGACAATAGGGAGGAGCAGAAAGAGGGGTGGGTCTTATGAGAGTGGGAGAAATTATATCCTTTTTTTGTGCAATGATAAAATTAATGAGGAGAAACAAATCATATGATTTCACTAACATTTGTATCTCAACAAAATTATTGTATTAATGATGTCAGCACAAAATTACCACTATATTCATTTGGGACCAAACTCTATGGACACTGGACTCTGGGCACAAAACTGAACTTTGTTGTCAGTTTTGAGTTTTGACAGAAATATTCACATTTTACAAAAGTGTCTTACTTTTTACACACTTTTTTTTAAGTCAATAAAAGTAAACGTATGTATTTGTTGCCCTCATTCCAGAGAGTGTCTGTGAGGCTATATTTATTTTGTCAGATCTGAAATTCATAAACTCAGTATGTAATCTCTGATATGATCTGTGCTAAACCCAGTGTTTAAAACATAAAGAATATTAGACAGAGTTCTATACCAACTCAATTCTTACGAAGTGTGAGAAATATTGGTTGAATATATTGTAATCACTAGTGTGCGTGAGTGCGTCTGTGTGCGTGTGTGTGTGTTTGTGTGTGTGTGTATGTCTGTGTTTGTGTGCGTGCGTCTGTGTGTGTATGTGTGCGTGTGTCTGTGCGTGTGAGTGTGTGTGTGTGTTTGTTTGTTTGTTAGCTTGCTACATAACTGAAAAATAAATGGATTTGACATCATTTTTAGGAAACCTTGGAAATGAAACAAAGAACGTTTTGGAGCCAGATCACCGTCTGATTAGAGGAAGGTTCTAGAGCTTTGGGCAGACGTCTGGGTTTATTATTTATTCAGTTGGGAGTTATACTTGTTTATATATATGTTTGTATTTCAAAACTTCTTTTGCATTTCAGTAAGGTCAGACACTCATAATAATGTTCTAGAAAAAGACCAATGTAAGTGACTTTTGTGTCAATGTAATCCAGGAATTGTGCACTGTAATTCTTTTAAATAATATGTTCTTGCCCTTTTGGTGCATGTAGATCACATTTTATATATAGTAAAATAGTAAAAAAAAAAAACAAACAAACAAAAAAAGCAGCTCAAAACAAAAAGGATAACATTTTTATTACTAACAAAATAGTTTGAAGCTCCTCTTTTTCTTCTCACTTACATGTAAATAACCCCTTTGGGGAGATCTCAGAGCTATAAGAATGATGACATGAAGAGGAATGTCATGTTTCATCTGAGGAGGAAAAATGAGGCAAATTAGAGAGAGTAAGATATGCAGAGGAGTCGGCAGATATCAGGCCGTATGAAGAGCAGTCATAGTGCCAGATCTTGTAGCTGTCAGCCTCAGATAAGAGACCGTGAGACACATCATCTTCATAGTGGTTCTGCCCCTGCTCTGTTTCCTGGGGGGATTCTTGCCACCCCCTAAAACTGAGAATCCTTTAGCTTCACTATATCTGTCGCCTTGACGACCACTTGTGGCAGCCATCACAGGTTTTCAGCCAGAAGAACCAAGGGGGGGCACATAATACAACACTGTTTAGGGTATGACATGATTGGTTGAGTAAAAAGGCAACATGGAAAATTTCAAAAACACATATGCAACTATTTATAATATTTATTCAGATATAAGGAAATTAGAAAAACTACAGTTAAAGGCATAATTGCAGGTAAACCCACTCACTGTCATAAAGTCAAAAAGTTGACCAGTAATATTGCTTTGCTTAGGTTTTGTGATAACATGGATCACAAAGTAAGTAATTAATCTTTATTTATAAAGCGCTTTTCATGGGCCAAGGTCCCCCAATATTTTTAACATTATACTTTCTGAAGCAGTACCGCAAGGCCGTTACAATGGGAGCGAGTCTGATCCATTTTACAAGCTATAACCATTTCACAGTTCACAAGGAGTGCAAACACACTTGTCATCAGCTGGAGAGATTATACTGCAGCATGAAGAATGAATTACACTAACTCACTGGTGTGAAAGCAGGATATTAAAGTATTTCTTAAGGGAACGCACTGTTCCTTTCTTCAGCACTTGTTACAAACTGGCCATATGATACAGTATGTTCTCAGTATGAATCTTATCTGAGTGAGTATTGAATATTGAACTTAAGCATGCCACACTGTTTCATTCTCATTACTCTAAAGTAGGGTATACTTAACAACAAAGATGAGATGACAGAAACAACACAGGGCAGCAGGATGATCTTATAATGCGTGTCAAATACCAGGCCAACCCAAGGGAACCAGGGGCACCTAAATTTCATCCTAGCCCTCGGGACAGTTTAGTTATTTCACCTGTTTTTTGTTTTTTGGATAAGTGACGAAGAGAAGACTATCCAACACGTCAAATAGTGACTCACAGGGGTCTACACATATATGCATTATCATTTAGCGAAAAAAAGAGAAACAAATTGCTTTCAAAGTTAAACAACTTGCAGTCATATGCAGAGTTCACAACTTTTGTTTAATAGAGAGTTGAACTCGTTTCAATTGTGCAAAATGCAAACGTTCCCCTTGCAGTAGGGACATTATCTGCACTCACCTGATGAGCAGAGACACTCCTACGTTCTCATAGTTTTTGTAAACCAGGGCCCACGTGCCCTGGATGATTTCGGTGTCAGAGTCGGACAGGGGCTCGGCCCTTTGCGGGCGGTCCTCGTCCTCTTTGCCCGTGATGAGACCGTTGTCTCCGCGAAGCAGTTGCGGAGGAGGCGGTGGGGAGGGGGGCAGAGGGGGGGACTCCCTGCGAGACATCCTGCCGCGCAGCAGCCCGGAGGCTCCCAGCAGCGCGCGGGGCAGGTAGGGCGCAAGGGAGGGGGGAAGGGACACGGACAGCTGGGACCCCACGGCGGGACCAGGACAGGGACCACCTCCGGAGAAAAAAGACAAGGCAGATGTGGAACGAGACCGTTGCGCGCCTCAAAGACTCCACATACAAATACTACAAAACCACTACGACAAACACAAATCCTTCTATTAGTGCGCTCCTTTGAATTCAAGTGAAACTTTCTCTGCTCCACTCTCTGCTGAGGGGCAAGCAGGAGTGACCTACGGAGGAGAGGAGCGCAACAAGACAGAGATTAGAGAGAGGCGGGGAGAGAGAGAGAGAGAGAGGGGGGGGGGGGGGGGGGGGGCGGCGAGAGAGGGAGAAGAGGGTCTCCCTCTTTCTTGCTCTCTTTCTATTCTAAGTAAAGCACCCAAAAACGCTCCACACGACATTTTTCATTCAATACCTACATGGTGGTGGTAAGGGATAGCCACAGCTGCCCTGTGGCAGACTGAAGCGAGCCAACCTATCTGTGCCATCGGCTCTTTCAACGACCTCCAATCATTCTCACACACACACACCCTCTCGTGAATTATGGGTTATACCCCAACTCTTTTGGTAAACTCACTGGTCATATCATGTGTCAAAAATCTAATAAGCATCTGCCAGATTATTGTCCTGTGTGTTGATTTTTAGATACAAAGGTTTGTATTTGGAAAACTATGACCTTAATGAGACTTTTATAGTCCATCAAAATAATCACAGACTGTTGGTTGGATCGTTTCCCTCCTAGAAACCAGAGTTGTCTATTTACCTGATCAAAGACACTTCCATATTTGGAGTTTTGCTAACGTTGTATATTCCAATAAATCTTTTACACTGTGTGTGCTTATTATGTTTGGTCCATCTATATTAAATGCATGGCGGTAAACTGTAACAGAATCAAAAACAGATGCTATGCTCAGCGACTGTGTGTCTGGACATAGGGATGTCATATCGACTTGTTGCTCTCATAGATTGTATTTTCAGCCTGCCCCTGGGGAAGATTACTGCCCTGCTCCCCACATTAACCTGGGTGGCTCTCTCTGTCTGAGAGTGACCGGGTCTGCAGACATTATTTAACTCGCACCAGTGGAGATGGTTGAAGATCCCCTGAGCAAAATGTGAAATGGAAAGATAGAGAAACAATCTTTTTTTTTAAATTAGAAATGGAGGTATGCAGTTGCTGGCACAGTACTAATACAATTTTAACATTTGCCTCTGTTGTAATGCTTATACAATACACCACAATAAACATAAACAGTATATACTTTTTATAGTATATTGCAAGTAACTGCAAGTATAACTGACAAGTACAAGTATCTGTTACTAATATTTTCATTAAACAAAACATTAGTTAAAGCTGGGGTATCTAACTTTCAACTCTCAAATAAATTCTAGTAATATTATTATTATTATTATTATTATTAATCTTGATTAAGGACACAATACAACACGGTCCACAGTAAAAAAAAAAAAATCTAATACACACAGAAAAAAAAATATACAGGAAAACAAAACAAAAAAGAGAACATTACAGCTGCTGTACAGAATAAAGGCATGACCTCCAGTAAGTCCATAATTTGGAGGTGAACAGCAGGGAGCAGAACTTGGGGCTGACCAGAGTCTTAACAATTACATTAATAGAGTTCCTCAGACGACACATGAATCTGAACTGAACATTACAAAAAGAAGCAGAACAGGAGCGGACACCACAGTAGGCAAACATCTCACTTGCACTGCTGTGCTGAGGAACCTTCAGCAGCAGCCTCCAGGAGTTGGGCCACAGTGAGTTTCTGCAAACTGGACTTTTAAAAACTCTTCCAAAGGTGAGCAGTGTACATAATAAAATCCACAGTTCCGCTCTCTCAAAATAGTTTCATAAAACATTCTCTTTTTGAATACTTCTTTAACTGACAACAGTAGTTGAGCCGAGAAATTTGATTTTCAAAATTTGTTTTACAGCTTATTTTGAAATTAATTTTGAAATTAATTTTCAAAATTGGCAAATGCCTATAACAGTTATAGGCATGAATCCTATAACTGTTACAGTCCCGTCCTCCACTGTTTCACCAATCAGAAAGTCAGAGATCCAGTTTGCCAGAACTCACACCATTGAGCTAATCTTACTGGTAAAAATGTGGCCGCAGAACTGAAAAAGGTCTTGTTATGATTCTCAAATCATTAATGACAAAATAAGGAAGAAAACGAGGATCTCTTTTGAGGCATTTGTGAAAAAGGTCTTTGATAGATTGTTGTTGACAGATTTCATGGTCCCAGCTGGATTCGTCTGCATTTCTGGCAACCTGAGTCAAGAAGAGTGGTGGAAGTTGCATTCTAGCCATATTTTTACATAAGTAACACCTTCCCATTTTAAATAAGGCTAATTTTTACTGAAAAGAGTACAATAGATGCGAAGGGAGGTTAGATCTATTCCAATTTTGAAAGCGATTTAAAATCTTTTAAGCATAAGATGTTTGATCAAGTTTTAGCGATGGTAGAAGAGGCTTGATGGCAGATAAATCTGTACTTAGCCATCAGCCACAACCATCTCAAAGATTGTCACTCTACTCTTAAAAACAATATTTTTTTTAATAACAATGTTATTATTATGTAACAAAATACTAAGGACAAACAAGAGATTCACCATTTCAAATATCAAGATGGAAAGTTACTTCATAATTCATGTTGATTGATAAAAAAACAAAACACATTTGTGTTTTGCACAACCACAGCAGTTCAGTACAACTTAATTCATAGATTATCAGCCAGTAAAACATCCAAAATTCTGCATTGTAATGAATGATTTAAAAAATATTATCAAAGGTCCATTTAGGGATTAGCCTGACAGCTCTGGGCAAAAATCTTATTAGCTGTCAAATGGTTCTGTTTTTTAGATTGTAATTTTTTTTTTCCCTCTGACTGCACAATTTGAAATTTGTTATGGAAAGGTGGTGTCCCGTCCCATACACTCTCCCATACGCAGTGAAGATCTCCTGCAGCAGTGGAAGGAATATGAAAACTCTTATGATCCATGGCTATAAGGCATAAGCATGTTTGTTGTAACAAAAAATGCACAAACACAAAAAAGTTCATAATGTCTTGTATGAATTATTATTTATTTCAATAACTAAAACATTACTTGGAGCCCAAACCTAGTGACTGTTGAATCTTCGACAAAAATACTTTGACTCTGCTGCCCTCTACCGGTTATGATGAGCATTAGTTGTCACAAGTGAAATCTGTTATTCGGGCATGAATCCTATAACCGTTATTTCCACGTTATATTCGCATATGTTTTTCAAAACGTGGCCAATTATTGTTGATGTTAACTATTCACTATACGTGGATACAGATATCAGACAATTAATTGAGTGAGTTGAGTGTCTAAATTGTCTCTTGTTGTTTATTATTACTTTTCTATCACTTAAGGACAGTACGGGACTCTGGGCTCTTGTTGTAAAACTGCGAAAAAAAACAGCCAATGACACTGTAGTTCTGAACGCCAAAGCATCAAGCAACCACAATCAAAATCAGACAAGATGAGATAACTTGTGTTTGTGCCACTGTGAAGAATTGTCGTGTTGCAATGCATAGTTCAAAAACAGGAACGGAAGTGACAACTTTGCAAAATACTCCGAGACAACTGCTGTCAAGTCTTGTACATTTTTCAACGTTGAAGATGATAATTTATTTTTCCATTGTCGTTACACTCACCAGTTTTGGTCTACTGTCAATTGTTGGCTAAATCTTAAAATGAAAATTCAACCTGTGAACTTATCTCATAGATTGTATTACATGGACAATTTAGACTCCCCTGCTGAAACTGTTGCTACAGTTTTTCTCGGTCGCTTTGGTGCATTTTTCACATCACTCTTCACATTTGCACAACTATTGGTGCATTTCTCAGTACAATTAATGCAAACTGCATGAACACGACTATGAGCACACTATACACGACCTGTACAGCCATTTACAGAAAAAACTACAGTAAAGTTACACAAAGACTGTATTTAGAGACCTACATGACGTTCTGTAACATATATGTATGTACTGTATGTATGTATGTACTGTATGTGTGTATCTATGTATGTATGTACAGTTTGTATATGTGTACTGCATATGCTCTTTCTATTTTTGTTGCACAATGCTGTAGAATTGCAGGCACATACATGTATATACAGTACATAGAACAAACATACAAGAAATATCATTACAAAACTTGCTAAGTACAGATGATGGGTGAGAAACCTTCCATTGCTAAGATGAAGGAATGTATGAAATTAGCTTGACAGTTATGATTTTGAGAACTAGTTCAACAATTTTGTATGTGATGACCAAAGCGATGAAATGAGGACAGTTAGTTTTATAGTGAATGACTATTCAGAAGTTTCATTTTGACTGACAGGACATGAAGCAAATGATAATGTTAAAAAAACGCCGAGAATTGTATGAAAGTTATTGATACATGAACGAAAGCATTTGAAATGTGTTTAGAGGAATGAGAAACTGCCATGATGATGTGCACCAATAACCCAAAAAAAAAAAAAAAAAAAGTAAAATGTAATGTAACTATGGTGTTTAATAAAGTGACGAATAAAATATAGCTGGATAGAGTGACTAAAGTGTTCTTATACAGTTTTGCCGCATCTAGATCAAAAATATGAATTAATATCATGTTAATTATAAGAGTCAAGCTGGTGAGGAGGTCAAACATCACCTATAGTTCTTAACGACAGGTGTTTGATGATTTAATTATTTTTCCATCCACCATCAAAGTTTGAGGATGAAAATACAATGCGACCGTTATTATTATAGATCCAGGATTGCGACCAATAGCGTTGTGGCCGCAGATGGGTGTTCAGCCAATGGGAGCAGCAGGATCGCGGGTGGGCGTGTCCAGAGGCAGTGTGCTGTAGTGCGGTCATGCTCCCAGCAGCGGCGCTAGGTCGGTTGAAGAGCGCTGCTGCTGATGGTGGGGGAGGACCACTGATGAGAGACAGAGAGCGGGCCACACCACACATTAATTCAGCGCGATTGGAGGACTATTGCCCTGTCTGGATACTTGCACACTCCCCGGATAGTGGCCCGTTTGTAGCTGCGTGTGGTGAGTCCATCGGAACCGCCTGAGTGGCTGGATGCGGATAGTGTTAGCAGTCATGTTAGTAGTGTTAGCTAGCGGATTATTGTGCCATGACTTTTCAATGATGGAGGGAGGACCGGGGGGCTATAGCTAATGTTAGCCTCACCACCAAACTTGTGCCTATTGATTTACAAGTTGAATGCAAAGGCTTTTATTTTATTTTTGTAAATTATCAGCGTGGGACGGAGCGCTCATGGCGTGGGCATTGTCCGCCTGCTTTTATCCTCAGTTACCCAGACATGCCTTCTGAACCACCCACACCCATCATGAGCTGGGGAGGCTGTCTGTCTTGATTGAAACTTATTCCATGACTTACTATGAAGATATGTGTTCACTTAGCTGTTAAATGTTTAAAAGCTCATACATGGATTTATTCAGGTCTCTGTTTGGGTTTAGCCTAATCCCTGTTGTCGTTCAGTGACATCTTAGCACGCCAACTTTGAGCTAACAGATCACGTTAAGGCTATCGAGCTAACATATTATTGCAGTATTTGGATTCACCAGGACCCCTGTTTTAATCTTTGCTGTTAATATCATTGTCAGAATTAGTTTAATTTTGCCAACAATGTCCAATTCAACATATACTTCACCAAAGTTCACTAAACGTGATCATGAATGTAAAAAAAGAAGAAAGAAAAAAAGTTACTGCTATAATGTTGTTATTGTTGATAATAGACAAGCCCCGCTTCCCCCCGGAGCAGTGGTGTTCAGCTGCCAAAGGGGATGCAGCAGCCGCTCTGATCCCCCATCCCGTGACCTGACCCAGATCTGTGCCTAACCAGCGTCTGATTTAAGCAATTGTAGGTTAAATGTCTTGGAGGCATGGCTACTGTATTTGTCCCATTTTCAGAAGTAGGATACGTCAGTGTAGGCGTCATACAGAGGAGGGGAAACCATTCGACCATTTATGCATGTCTTTCAAGTTAGTGTATGCTATTGCATATCATATGATAAAGACTTGCAATAATATAATAATAATTTTATAAAACATATATGAATAGGGTATTCAATCATTTGAACTACCACAGATTTCCCAAGCGGTATTGGGAAAGTGTGAAATGCAGATTATAGAAAATAATAATCAGAAGTACCGGTATAAACATTTGGATTGATACTATAAATGCTATCAAAACTAGATACTAATTTGAGCAATTATAGCTACAACATGCAAATATTTTAAATCTCTATGGCATTATTTGATTCATTTTAAACTACAGTAAATAAGAAAAAAGCTTGTGGCCTGATAAAAGTATAGCTAGAGTGAAAAAGTGTTTTGTCCAAAGGAGCATTTATTAATTATCACTGTGACATTGAAGATCAAATTTTTATTTCCATGCGTGGCACGGTGGCTGAGTGGATAGCACTCTCGCCTCTCAGCAAGAAGGTCCTGGGTTCGAATCCCGGTTGGACCAGGGCCTTTCTGAGTGGAGTTTGCATGTTCTCCCCGTGTCTGTGTAGGTTTCCTCCTGGTGCTCCGGTTTCCCCTACCACTAAAAATATGTACAATAGGTACAAAATATGTACAGGTCTGGCATGTGCCTCCTGTACTGGCACCCCCACTCCCAAAAATCGCAATTGTAAACCGCTTTGAGACGCTGATGTGCAGTGAAAAGGCGGTATATAAATAAAGATTACTTACTTACTACTACTTACTTATTGAAATTGAGTATGTTGAGCACACTAATTCCATCCCTGTAATAGTCCGACCGCTTAGCTTCTGATATCTGTCAGGATCACTCTTAACTGTAACAAACTTTACTGGTTGCAGGTGGCATCTGGTGTTGTGGCTGAAGTTCCCAGCAGAAATGTCACAGAGAAGTGGGCAGGAGGACCCAGAGCGGTACCTGTTTGTGGACCGCGCCGTGGTCTACAACCCGACCGCTCAGGCCGACTGGACTGCCAAGAGGCTGGTGTGGATCCCTTCAGAGAGGAATGGCTTTGAGGCCGCCAGCGTCCGGGAGGAGCGTGGAGATGAGGTGGTGGTGGAGCTCGCAGAAAATGGGAAGAAGGCGATTGTAAACAAAGATGACATTCAGAAGATGAATCCACCAAAGTTCAGTAAAGTGGAGGACATGGCCGAGCTGACCTGTCTGAATGAGGCGTCGGTGCTGCACAACCTCAAAGACCGCTACTACTCTGGACTCATCTATGTAAGTCTCCATGACCTTGATTTAATTCAATATTATTATTTATATGAGAATGAATAATACAATGACTTAAGCAGAAAATATTCAGCCAACATTAGTACTTTAGGCATAGTGTAATTTCTTGGACAAGACATTTTTCCCGAAAAATGTACTGTATCTAAAATCTGTAAACATGCCATCTTGATATATCTACATTTGTCATAATGGCCTCCTCCATACGTCCTTCAAATATCCAAGATGTTATTTTTGTCTTAGCTGGCTTAGCTGTCTCTGATGTTATTTCCATGTCTGGTAATAATTACTTTGTGATATAATGCTCAGTAATATTTATTGTGTATGTCACTTCTTCAATTCAACAGTGCATAAGCTGATTTTACGTTAACATTAAGTGAAACTTAAAGACATATAATTGGTTTTATATACTACTGTGTGAGTATTGGAACAAAGTGCTGCCTGGTAAGCCCTACCATGTGGTCTCTTCAGACTGTGGCCTCCAGCCAAGAGATTGCTCTGTTGATTTGTGCCTCCTAAGAACAGATGTTGTTTGTCACTGGAATAGTCTAATATAAACCTTGAAATGAAAAGAGTTTTCTGCTTACGTTTTGAGCTGTTGTTGCATAACATTGTGCTTCCAGTGAGGTGGTAGCAGATTCACTCCTACACAGGGCAAATAATAGCATTCCTCGGTGTTCAGTTTTCACTTCACGTTCTGTATTTTTGAAGCCAGTGCTGAGTCACTTTAAGTGATTCATTTTCTGATCATTGCATTTACATATAACTGCAAACATTGTTCCATATTAGGCTCAAACCCCAACAGGCCCTACACACTTCTTACTCCCAGGTTGACAGTATGGCACTTCTGAACTGAGGGTATGATTCATCCGGATTGATTCCATCATTACTTAGAATTCAAGCCGAGCTTAGAAATAGGATTCCATGTTTTTTACCTCGACATATTCCATTTCTATCATCAGTAAGATGCATTAAGTGCATCAATATAGTTGATAAGTGGGATGCATGGATTCAATTCAATTTATTTTGTATATCCCTGTATCATAATAGTGGTCAGTTGACTCAGATGACTTCACGAAGTTGTCAATTTTCCAACACAGATCAGAGAATCAAACAGTTCAAACGCAGAAAAAGAAACAATAAAAATCACATAGTAAGTTTGTACTAATCATCATTCATATAGCGCCTTGCACAGACCAGAGTCACAAAGTGCCATACAATTGTGGGTATTTATCTCTCACTCCTAATAGGGGATTCCATAAGGAGGGGATGACCAATGCTAATAGATGTCCATAAATGTCCTTAAATGTCCTGGATCTCCACTGTTCAAACACACAGCAGTTCTACAGTGATAACTACACTGGGTAATTAGACTGACTTGTGAGAATAGTCACGTGATAGAAAGCGCTGTGAGTCTTGAAAACTCATATCTTTCTCACACAAATAACTTTTATTACACAAGGCAAAATATTTTACTGCTGTTTAAACAGAAACAAGACAGCGGAAAAAACCTCTGAACATATTTTCACCTTTAATTTCAAAATGATATAAAGGGAGAGTTGTGAAAAGCCGCGTGCGATACAAGGCCACTGTTTGATCATGAGAGGCCCGGAGAAGGTTCAATATGACCTTTTTTTTTAAAGTGGCAGATTGAATGGAGGAAAAAAAGGTGATAAAAATCAAAATCACGCTGGTGAGAACCCAGCCTATAATTAAAATTGCCAAAAAATAACAATAATTTGATTTCTCCTCAAACTTTTTTGCCCTCATGTGCTTAGCTAATGAACAAGGGGCTTTCAGTGGTTTGAGTGCACATGCTAAAGTACTCCGGTCAGCTGCCTCAGCATTCCTGACTCGGCATGTTTACACATCCATTCAAGATGTCGACGTAGTGCTGCTGACATAATCTCTGTCGTTCTTTGAATATTGGCTCAATATAGATGTCTATATCACACAGCTTCAAACAAAAGAAGAGCTCCCCCCACTTCAACAAGTTCATTTTCTAAAAGTTACTAACGATACTAATACATTGTATATTCATCAACAGTATTTAAATTTCAGCACAACGCATTATGGTTTGCTGTTCTGGTTGCACAATTTCTTTTATCACAGTGATAACCCCTGAAAGATGTGCATATATAACTCTTCAGAAATCATTGCACAAGGGAATCCTTTTATCAACATCTTGTTTCTGTAAGAAGTGAATTAACTAACTGGTGATTTGTTAACTCATTGAATGCCAGCCTATTTCAGAACAGGTACTCCCACAGTGCCAGCCATTTCTGATGATTTTTACTGATTTTTCAAGACCCACAGAATATTGTGTACTATGACTATCTGAAATCCGACACCAGATTCTAAAAGAATGGACTGTCTACTTTCCTCAGCAAAAAGAATTTTGTTTATAGCTTTTTTCGTTCCCCTGTAATCCTCCGTCGAGTAGAGGGAAGTTTTACTGAAATCACCAGAAATCACCAGAAAGTTGAGAAAAAAGAGGCACAACATGTGCACCTACATGTTTTCAAACCATTCAGAGAGCAATGCTGCCACCTGCTGGCTCGATAAAATATGGTCTCAAGTCATCCCCATACATATTAGATACAATAGACATCTGGGAACGTGAAAATAGCAAAAAAGGCAATTGACGTATTTGTGCGTCAATGGGACACAATGAGTTAATATAATCTTCCCTATTTGCACGTCCTGTGATAAGTTATTTTTGTTGCTTCCATCAGGTTAGGGCTGGCAATAGCAGAGAACACTGATTAGACGCAAAATTCCCCTCACAACGAGTGACCGAAGGGTTTTGATTACAATATATCCATAATGACTGCAGAGTGAAGAAAATTCTTTCTGATTAAATACTAACTACTGTATCTAAAGTAATCCATCCATGAGAAGATATCCATAAATCTATCAATTTTCTTCCCCTTAATCCACTTCTGGGTCGGGGGGTGGCAGTCAGAGCTGCACCCAGTACACAGCAACAGCCCCTCACTGATCCTCCTGCAGGTGGTGAGTCCACAGGAGGACGGCTGCTCTGTCCATGACAGGCAGCCTTGATCTTTCAGCAGAGGCTGAAAGTGGGGTTAAGTGTCTTGCCCAAGGACACAGCAACAGCAGATGTCAGTGGGAGTCGGTGAAGAAGGTCTTGTGGTGGGCTCTATCAAGAGATAAAAGGCAAACAAATCTCACAATTACTGACTTTTCGGGTCAGTAATCTAATTAATTAATCAATCATCAAAATAATTGTTAATTACAGATTTAAACCACACCAGATAGAACATGTTTACATGTTTCTCTCAACTTGCAGATTCTTGTAGCCTCAAGAGCTCGCTTAACCCGCTCACAATAATCTACACAGGCATTTTAAGAGTCACACAGTTCACTTCCAGCTATGTGCTTAATTAAATTGAAACTGAATGAAAACCTTGACTGTGATTGCACTTTTCAGACAGTCCGATCAGATTGTTATGAAGGAGTGTTGCAGTAGCTCTCCTATAATCCCTGATGCCCCTGGGGTGCAGGGATGTCTCGCTGAGTCATGGGCCCTGCGCTTCATGTCCTGCTGTGACAGTCATAGAACACGGTCTGTCTGCCAGGCCCAGGGCCACAGCAGGGGAGCTGAGCTGGGGCGCTTAGGGTCCGGGAGTGAGCCCTAAATGTAACAAACTGTGAGAAAACAAACTGTTAGGCAATGCAAAAGTAAGTAGGTAATATTTGTTTATATAAGGTTTTTCACAGACACAGTCACACACAAACGCTTTACTGTAAGAAAAATGGATAAATAACAATCACAAATTTGTGATTAGAAATGGTCCCATACATATTTTGTTTTTTTATTGATATGGAGATTTGAACTGCAGTGGTCGAGATTTATAGTTGCCCATAGCTCTATAGATTTCGGCTGCCTCTTTACATTCCTAGTCATTCTCAGGTCATATTTTCTTGTGCTTTCAGGGGATTTTAATGTTTTCTGCCCATCGTAATATCATTATCAATTCTGATTTGTAATTGGATTATGAAAGCAAAGCAAAAAGCAAAGTTACTGCCCCCATTCGGCAACAAACAAACTGTATGTTGTCAAACTTTAGTTCCGCCAATATTAACATGTAAAGAATAAAATATATTATTTGCTGAATGGAAAATAACAAATTGTAATCACTTTTCAATTGAATGACAATTGTTTCAATATTTATGCTAGTAATGGTACGAAAGCGTTGCCTCCAGGGTCAACTTTACAAAAACATATCTTAGCCATCACAGTACTAACCAGGCCCTGCTGATCCATTATCCCCTTTTTACGAGTTCTAAAATTGTTATAAGGCATGTAAAAGAAATCAACATGGCATTAGTTCTCCACTGCTTGCCAAAGAAATGTATTTGGAGGAGCGGTTTTCTATTTCTCCTCCTGAGAGGAGACCTCGGGAAGACTCAGGATGTCCCTCCAACAGGTCACCTGGCCTGGGAACAACTCAGGATTCCCCCGGATGAGGTGGGGAAGTGTGTGTGCGGATTGGGAAGTCTGGGTATCTCTGCTTAGACAGCTGCCACTGCGATCTGGCATCGAAAACAGATGCATGGTTTTCTTTTTATCCTCACAATTATTGAATTGGTAAACTAATTATGTCAAGTCCACACCCTTCATTGCTGGAGTTTGGAACAAACTTAGACAAAGTACGCTGTAACTAATTAACTTTACTTTTTTGTGAAAAGTCAGTCCTATGTTTGTACAGTGCAGTTGTTCTCTTGGCTTTGTCACACACAATAGAGTGGTTATGACGCTATTATGCTTGCTAAATCTCAGTGGTCGATGCTTTTGTGGCAGTCTGGGGCCCTGCAGTACATTCCTCAAATGGACACATTATTACTTACACATTTGTAACTTTTGATTTATGATCCCATGGGCCGTGACCATAAGTAGGAACAGTGTTTATCATGTGGCCCGTCACAATAATTATATAACTATATCGACTTCATTCAATAATGGATTTAACCATATATATTTTATTTTGAGCTCAATAACATACTGTAGTTGAGTGATTGTTAGCAATTTTCTTTCTATGTGAGTTGTTGCATGCGCCAAAAGTGACTTTTTTGTGTCTAAATATATCTCAGAGAATATTTTTAAGACTAGAACTCCCAGAGCAGTCATTTTTTGCATTCCTTACATTGTAACTTTGTATGTACTTTATTTCTATGAACTTTTTGAATGGATCTTTTTAAACGTGAGTAGTTCTACATTTAACTCCCAGAGCCATCGTTTTTACTGCTCCATTCATTTTCATGTATGATTCTAATGTAGTTGATTGTAGTTGATATTGATTATGCCTGCAACAGGATCTTTGGGGTCAATTAGTCATTAGCATTATGTCTACTTTGTATTAGGATTTAAGCTGGAAATAGAAAAAAGATAAGAAAAAAAAATAATAATTTTTTATATATATATATATATATATATATATATATATATATATATTAGGGCTGTCAAACGATTAATTTTTTTAATCGAGTTAATTACACCTTCAAAATGTATTAATTGTAATTAATCACATTTCAAACTATTGGCAAAATTATGCCATATTATTCTGTAAATGGTTGTTTGAATGGAAAGATAAATGACAGCTTAGTGAACATATGTACTGTATTTGTTTGTTATAACAATAAATCCATATAAAATGGAATCAACATTATTAACATTCTGTCTTTCTGTTTAGACTCAGACCAAAACCATTGTTTGTTACAGATGAGGGACATTTCAAAATAGTCTGAAATGCAGAATGTCCTTAAATCTGTTTGATTTGCTCACACCATTACTTTTTTTGGCACAACTAACATGAACTGGTAGTCAAAAGGAAAATTAGGTACCTCAGCTTTAATTTAGCGAGTGCGCTTTGGGAGAAGACACGGAGGAGACTGAGGCTCCGCAGTCCAGCTTCAGCGCTGTACATATTGTGTGCATTGGTTACGCAAAGACACGTACGCACACTAGAGAATAATTCTGTGCGTGATCTTGGATATGATCCCATTACGCAGCGCCGTTCGCCGTGATCACAGCCGCTGGAAGTGGTGCTGCTGTCCAGAGCGCTGTGGCGCCCGCAGCTCATCATGCAGAGTTCATACAGGAAACAACAAGTGCCCCGCGGTCACGCGTGTATTCTTTCAAAACTTGAATTCCCAGAGGGCCTACCTGCTCTGTCCCCAGCTTACACACGCATGTGTCCGCGGCATTCTGAGTGTTATTATGGGATGCATGGGCATGCGTCAAATGCGTAAATTTTTTTAGCGCGATTAATGAAAAAAATTTATTAACGTGCGTTAACGCGATAATTTTGACAGCCCTAATATATATATATATATATAATATATAGAAAGAAGAGCATCATAATATCATTGATGCAGTACATAATGCTTATGTATGTTTTTCTTGTGTCTAACTACATTTCTTTTCCCTCCACAGACATACTCTGGTCTCTTCTGTGTGGTCATAAATCCCTACAAAAACTTGCCCATCTACTCGGAGAACATCATAGAGATGTACAGGGGTAAAAAGAGGCACGAGATGCCCCCTCACATCTACGCCATCTCAGAGTCCGCGTACAGGTGCATGTTGCAGGGTAAGTCTGCTCTCCACACCCAGTGTTGATCACCGCGGTAAAGAGGTCCGGCTTTCCAGAACCAGCGGTAAAGAGGTCCGCACGTAAAAAGAGGGGTGTCACATTATGCTGTTACTTACGGTAACACAGGAAAGCGAAGCCGCGGGGATGGGCCGCCACAATGCATTTTTTAACATGATTCTTTTTTTATACATAAAAAACCTTAGAAAAAGCTTTCACTGCACACTTGTTCACTGTGAAGCCCTCTATTATTGTGCAAAGTCACATTCACTTTTACTGTGGAAATTCCTAGAAAATAGGGGTCAAAGTGTGCAATAATGATCCAAAATGCACTTTTTAACCTGGATTTTAAAAAAAAGTAAAAAACCTTAGAACATTTTTTTACTGCACACTTGTTCACTGTGATGCCCTCTACTATTGTGCAAAGTCACATTCACTTTTACTGTAGAAATTCCAAGAAAATGGGGGTCAAAGTGTGCAATAATGATCCAAAATGCACTTTTTAACCTGGATTCTTAAAAAAAGTAAAAAACCTTAGAAAAAGCTTTCACTGCACACTTGTTCACTGTGATGCCCTCTATTATTGTGCAAAGTCACATTCACTTTTACTGTAGAAATTCCAAGAAAATAGGGGTCAAAGTGTGCAAAAATGATCCAAAATGCACTTTTTAACCTGGATTTTAAAAAAAAGTAAAAAATCTTAGAAAAAGCTTTCACTGCACACTTGTTCACTGTGATGCCCTCTACTATTGTGCAAAGTCACATTCACTTTTACTGTGGAAATTCCTAGAAAATAGGGGTCAAAGTGTGCAATAATGATCCAAAATGCACTTTTTAACCTGGATTTTAAAAAAAAGTAAAAAACCTTAGAAAAATTTTTCACTGCACACTTGTTCACTGTGATGCCCTCTACTATTGTGCAAAGTCACATTCACTTTTACTGTAGAAATTCCAAGAAAATGGGGGTCAAAGTGTGCAATAATGATCCAAAATGCACTTTTTAACCTGGATTCTTAAAAAAAGTAAAAAACCTTAGAAAAAGCTTTCACTGCACACTTGTTCACTGTGATGCCCTCTATTATTGTGCAAAGTCACATTCACTTTTACTGTAGAAATTCCAAGAAAATGGGGGTCAAAGTGTGCAATAATGATCCAAAATGTACTTTTTAACCTGGATTTTAAAAAAAAGTAAAAAACCTTAGAAAAAGCTTTCACTGCACACTTGTTCACTGTGATGCCCTCTACTATTGTGCAAAGTCACATTCACTTTTACTGTGGAAATTCCAAGAAAATAGGGGTCAAAGTGTGCAAAAATGATCCAAAATGCACTTTTTAACCTGGATTTTAAAAAAAAGTAAAAAACCTTAGAAAAAGCTTTCACTGCACACTTGTTCACTGTGATGCCCTCTACTATTGTGCAAAGTCACATTCACTTTTACTGTGGAAATTCCAAGAAAATAGGGGTCAAAGTGTGCAATAATGATCCAAAATGCACTTTTTAACCTGGATTTTAAAAAAAAAGTAAAAAACCTTAGAAAAAGCTTTCACTGCACACTTGTTCACTGTGATGCCCTCTACTATTGTGCAAAGTCACATTCACTTTTACTGTGGAAATTCCAAGAAAATAGGGGTCAAAGTGTGCAAAAATGATCCAAAATGCACTTTTTAACCTGGATTTTTAAAAAAAAGTAAAAAACTTAGAAAAAGCTTTCACTGCACACTTGTTCACTGTGATGCCCTCTACTATTGTGCAAAGTCACATTCACTTTTACTGTGGAAATTCCAAGAAAATAGGGGTCAAAGTGTGCAAAAATGATCCAAAATGCACTTTTTAACCTGGATTTTAAAAAAAAGTAAAAAACCTTAGAAAAAGCTTTCACTGCACACTTGTTCACTGTGATGCCCTCTACTATTGTGCAAAGTCACATTCACTTTTACTGTGGAAATTCCAAGAAAATAGGGGTCAAAGTGTGCAAAAATTATCCAAAATGCACTTTTTAACCTGGATTTAAAAAAAAAGTAAAAAACCTTAGAAAAAGCTTTCACTGCACACTTGTTCACTGTGATGCCCTCTACTATTGTGCAAAGTCACATTCACTTTTACTGTGGAAATTCCAAGAAAATAGGGGTCAAAGTGTGCAATAATCATCCAAAATGCACTTTTTAACCTGGATTTTTAAAAAAAAGTAAAAAACCTTAGAAAAAGCTTTCACTGCACACTTGTTCACTGTGATGCCCTCTACTTATTGTGCAAAGTCACATTCACTTTTACTGTGGAAATTCCAAGAAAATAGGGGTCAAAGTGTGCAAAAATGATCCAAAATGCACTTTTTAACCTGGATTTAAAAAAAAAGTAAAAAACCTTAGAAAAAGCTTTCACTGCACACTTGTTCACTGTGATGCCCTCTACTATTGTGCAAAGTCACATTCACTTTTACTGTGGAAATTCCAAGAAAATAGGGGTCAAAGTGTGCAAAAATTATCCAAAATGCACTTTTTAACCTGGATTTAAAAAAAAAGTAAAAAACCTTAGAAAAAGCTTTCACTGCACACTTGTTCACTGTGATGCCCTCTACTATTGTGCAAAGTCACATTCACTTTTACTGTGGAAATTCCAAGAAAATAGGGGTCAAAGTGTGCAATAATGATCCAAAATGCACTTTTTAACCTGGATTTTAAAAAAAAGTAAAAAACCTTAGAAAAAGCTTTCACTGCACACTTGTTCACTGTGATGCCCTCTACTATGGTGCAAAGTCACATTCACTTTTACTGTGGAAATTCCAAGAAAATAGGGGTCAAAGTGTGCAAAAATGATCCAAAATGCACTTTTTAACCTGGATTTTAAAAAAAAGTAAAAAATCTTAGAAAAAGCTTTCACTGCACACTTGTTCACTGTGATGCCCTCTACTATTGTGCAAAGTCACATTCACTTTTACTGTGGAAATTCCAAGAAAATAGGGGTCAAAGTGTGCAAAAATGATCCAAAATGCACTTTTTAACCTGGATTTTAAAAAAAAGTAAAAAACCTTAGAAAAAGCTTTCACTGCACACTTGTTCACTGTGATGCCCTCTTTTATTGTGCAAAGTCACATTCACTTTTACTGTGGAAATTCCAAGAAAATAGGGGTCAAAGTGTGCAATAATGATCCAAAATGCACTTTTTAACCTGGATTTTAAAAAAAAAGTAAAAAACCTTAGAAAAAGCTTTCACTGCACACTTGTTCACTGTGATGCCCTCTTTTATTGTGCAAAGTCACATTCACTTTTACTGTGGAAATTCCAAGAAAATAGGGGTCAAAGTGTGCAATAATGATCCAAAATGCACTTTTTAACCTGGATTTTAAAAAAAAGTAAAAAACCTTAGAAAAATTTTTCACTGCCCACTTGTTCACTGTGATGCCCTCTACTATTGTGCAAAGTCACATTCACTTTTACTGTGGAAATTCCAAGAAAATAGGGGTCAAAGTGTGCAATAATGATCCAAAATGCACTTTTTAACCTGGATTTAAAAAAAAAGTAAAAAACCTTAGAAAAAGCTTTCACTGCACACTTGTTCACTGTGATGCCCTCTACTATTGTGCAAAGTCACATTCACTTTTACTGTGGAAATTCCAAGAAAATAGGGGTCAAAGTGTGCAAAAATGATCCAAAATGCACTTTTTAACCTGGATTTTAAAAAAAAGTAAAAAACCTTAGAAAAAGCTTTCACTGCACACTTGTTCACTGTGATGCCCTCTACTATTGTGCAAAGTCACATTCACTTTTACTGTGGAAATTCCAAGAAAATAGGGGTCAAAGTGTGCAAAAATGATCCAAAATGCACTTTTTAACCTGGATTTTAAAAAAAAGTAAAAAACCTTAGAAAAAGCTTTCACTGCACACTTGTTCACTGTGATGCCCTCTTTTATTGTGCAAAGTCACATTCACTTTTACTGTGGAAATTCCAAGAAAATAGGGGTCAAAGTGTGCAATAATGATCCAAAATGCACTTTTTAACCTGGATTTTAAAAAAAAGTAAAAAACCTTAGAAAAAGCTTTCACTGCACACTTGTTCACTGTGATGCCCTCTACTATTGTGCAAAGTCACATTCACTTTTACTGTAGAAATTCCAAGAAAATGGGGGTCAAAGTGTGCAATAATGATCCAAAATGCACTTTTTAACCTGGATTCTTAAAAAAAGTAAAAAACCTTAGAAAAAGCTTTCACTGCACACTTGTTCACTGTGATGCCCTCTTTTATTGTGCAAAGTCACATTCACTTTTACTGTGGAAATTCCAAGAAAATAGGGGTCAAAGTGTGCAATAATGATCCAAAATGCACTTTTTAACCTGGATTTTTTAAAAAAAGTAAAAAACCTTAGAAAAAGCTTTCACTGCACACTTGTTCACTGTGATGCCCTCTACTATTGTGCAAAGTCACATTCACTTTTACTGTAGAAATTCCAAGAAAATGGGGGTCAAAGTGTGCAATAATGATCCAAAATGCACTTTTTAACCTGGATTCTTAAAAAAAGTAAAAAACCTTAGAAAAAGCTTTCACTGCACACTTGTTCACTGTGATGCCCTCTATTATTGTGCAAAGTCACATTCACTTTTACTGTAGAAATTCCAAGAAAATGGGGGTCAAAGTGTGCAATAATGATCCAAAATGTACTTTTTAACCTGGATTCTTAAAAAAAGTTAAAAACCTTAGAAAAAGCTTTCACTGCACACTTGTTCACTGTGATGCCCTCTTTTATTGTGCAGAGTTTTAGACATGAGAATACTCTCAAAGATCATCAGAGGATCCACACTGGAGAGAAACCATTTTACTGTGACCAGTGTGGAAAAACATTTGGGACCAAACAGCAGCTCTCAGTACATAAGCGTGTCCACACAGGAGAGAGACCTCACCAATGTGACCAGTGTGAAAAGGCTTTTACAAAATTATCTCACCTCACTGTGCACTACAGAATCCACACTGGAGAAAAACCATTCGTCTGTGGAGACTGTGGGAAGGAGTTTACTGTGTTTTCAAACTACAAAAGTC